TCCGAGCTGTCGCCCTTAGTCCAAGTCCATACTACCTCCCGTGGGTTCTCATTTCGATACTTATCGACGAGATCAAACCCGTCGATGAAATAACTCTGTGTTTAGCAGAGTTATGAGCCTATAATCATCAAGTTTCCACCCCCTCAACACCCTTGCCTTTTTTCAACAGCGTGATCACACCCCTGGAGAACCGGTTGTGGAGGGACCCCTGCCGGAACCAGTTGTTGAACACAACAGTCAAAATCGGGGCAAAGATGTGCGACAGCCTCAGGTACAATTCATAAGGCAAACCATCCAAACCGGGCAACTTGCTTCTGCCGATCTTTAATGCCGCGTAGATCTCGCCGTCCGTGATCTCTCCCTCGCAGCTAGCCGCTTCAGTCGACGAGGAAATTCAGCCAAATAGCTGCGAAACTCGTTCTCACAAAGACCAGGCTCTTTGGTAAAGCGGCTCTCGAAATGCCGCTGAAACGCTTCGCGCATGACGTCAGTGGCCCGAAGTGTATGCCCCTCCCTTACGAAATCAAAACCTCGATGCGATGAAAACCTCAGGGGTTTGACATTTTGATCTCTTCCGGGGTTTTGACATTTTGATCCCTTCCTTGCGCAAGTCTGCATCCATGTTCACAGCTTCGGAAGACATCTTGTTTAACTTATATCTAATTATTCGAGCACTCCTGGGCTTCTCTAGCTAAGGCTATCTCTAGGGGACCCCCAGCTACCGCCCGAGAAAAACTAGCTCTAAGCGTCTTCACGTTTTCAGCTCTATCTAGGGCGAGCCGTTTGCTGAAATCGGTGGTGAAAGACCTAATTCTATTCTTAAGTCTCTCCCACCACTTATTCCCGATAACCGCCCACACTAGCTCCCGCTGCACTACGCTAGTTAGCTGCTCCTGAAAGTCCTGCCTGTCCAATAAAGACAGATTGAATTTCCGGTACCCAGCCATTCTAGCCCTATGATCTAACGCCACCCAGGCACAAGCGAGTTTGTGGTCCGAATAGCCTACCCAGTGGAACGTGGAACAATCTAACAAATCTACGTCGGCTCCTCTAACATTCAGTCCAGGTAGCTAATCACCCGGTCACAAGGCCAAAGGGCCCACGTCCACATTTTCCTCCGGGTTTGGTCGACCCGGCATCTATCGACGAGACCAAACTCTTCGATCAGAACTACCAGGCTACGATCGCCCCTTCTCCCGCTAGCTCCCTGCCTCCTATCTAACTTGGGGTCCAGGATGGCATTCCAGTCCCCCATTAAAACTAGGCGCGTTGAATCCACTAGGAACGACCCCAACTGCCGAAAAAACGAGACTCGTTCCTCATGGTCGTTGGGCGCATAAACCGCAACGACCCGGAACGAACCACTTTTTACGGCAATATCGGCCACGATCAACCGGCCCTCGGCATCGGTATGCACAAGAGTACGCTTCACCAGCAAAGAAACTCCTCTGGCATATCGGTCCCCATATGCTGAATAAACGACAAGTCGCTCTCCAGCATGCACGCATTGATGCTGCAAATAAAGTGAGTCTCTTCGATCGGGCGACATTCACGCTGAAAGACAAGAGATCACGGAGCAGGCGGGCCGCCTTACCCCGATCCCTCAGACCCTTCACATTCAGACTGGCTATCTTAATAGACATCTTCTAAGCCTGAAAAATAAAAGAGAGAAAAAGAAAAAAAGGACAATCGGGAAAACGTAAGTGGCGCTTGCATCCGCCCTCACATTCAGGCCGGAAATCTAAAGCGTTAAGGACTCCGACGGATTGTCACAGGATTCCTGTTCCCAACTCCGTCGTCATCTGACCATCCAGGACAATACCGCCGACGTCCGTAGGATACCTTAGCTTAACTGCCCTATATAAGGAGGGATGGAGTAAAACAGGGACCCTCCCAGAACAAAAATTTCTCAGTCTTTTTAAGTCCGGATTCATCTGTTCAAAAACCCTTATTTGGGGGTATGCTTCTTGGGCCTCATAGAAATGGCTCCACACCTTAAGGTAGGCCCCAGTATCCCTCACAACGGTGATGACTCCTGGGGTGTGAGGGAAGTTTCGCGGATCTTCAACCGACTTCCCATCGACCTTATCCATTTTTAAAAGGAACCCTTAGACAGGTCTTTTTTTTGGCTTCTTCTATGTCTACCTTGCAGACGTCATCTGGTCCTGGGAAGGATTTCTTTCTCTCCCTTAAAGGATGGGGCGGGGAAGCAGTGGATGTATGAGGGGGTGTAGATTGAGCTGAGGGAAGAATTCGAGGGAGAGAAGGAAGAATCACGGGAAGGGGAAGCAGAGAGGCTCCTTGCCTTTGCTGTTGAATCTTTGGTTTCTCTTGGCGAAGCAGGGACGGAGAGTGACCTGGTTTTGTCCATGTGCCTCTCCGCCCTACATCAGCCAGCACGTTTCTCAACTGGTTCTTCTGCTTCGTCTTCCTCCTTCCTAGCCCTCTTCAAGGAGAAAGATCGTAACGGAGGCATTTCTTCCACCTCCATCTCAGAGTC